CTGTTGGATACGGACAAGGTGGTGTAGCCCATGGTTGCCATGGCGGGGAGCTCCATTGTTGATATTGATTTGGGTATGGCGGATAAGCCCACTGCTGATGCGGGTAATATGGTGAAGGCCATTGCTGTTGCGGAGCACGACCTCCGCCACGTCCATTGTTTCGCCCTCGGCCTCGTCTATGCTATCCTCTGCCATTGTTTCGGCCACCACGGTTATGGTTACTGTTGTTACCGCGGTTAGGACGGGATGCCGATGAATTAACTGATGCGTCATTGTGAGACGCCATGAAAGATGAATTTTCGACTGAGCTTGACACCTTTTTCTGCAGTGTTGTTTCTTCCAAAATGATCATGGAACGAGCTTTATAGAACTGAGGAAGTGAATCAGCATGACGAATTTGAGATGCCACAGTAGCATATGCATCGGTTAGTCCCGAAATGAGTTGAAGAACTAAACGTTCATTCGATACAGGGGCACCAACATTAGCGAGTTGATCAGAGAGAGATTTGAGATGCTGACAGTATGAGGAAGCATCAGAGAATTGTTCCATATGAGTTTGCGAAAATTCTTGCTCTAGGTAGAGAGCCCTAGAATTCTTGTTATCATAAAAGATGTCGAATAAGCGATTCCACGCGATTTCAGCGGTGGAATTATGTTCGATGATAGTGTTGAGAAGATCATCGGAGATTGTTCCATATATCCACTGCAAAACGACGGCGTCGAGACGAAGCCATAACTGTGGATCAGTAGTTTTGAGAGAGGGATCTGCGGCTGGTTCAGAGGGATTGATATGGTCAATTACTTGAAAAACTCGAGCATGGATTTTGAAAAGTTCTGACCACGTGTTATACGTGCCCTTTTCAATGCTCAGAGTAATCTTGATGAAATTAGTAATATTTGGGACAGTGAGAGCAGGGTGAATCGGTGTAGGAGTGGTAGGTGGTGGAGGAGGGTCGGTATGACCGAATGATTTCGGGGAAGAGTTGTTGTTAGAGGAATCAGAAGTGGTAGTCATGGCTGTTTCGCGGTAGTTGAAGAGAAAAAGAATGAGGGATAGAAAGGAAGAAGGTTTACGGCTGATTTTAGGGTTTGGAACAAACCAAGACTGATACCATGTAAGATAATTTAGGTCGTGCCTTTTCATTCATGTGATAGTCATTTATATACACAGTACAAATATGTGGTTATGATTCTAATAATCATTGATAATCAATACTAATAATAATCTTTCTATATTTACATATCTAATAGTTTTATGCACAAAGAGAGAATGTGAATTGGGAAAAGAAGAAAACGAAGAGAGAGAAGATCAATTGGGAAAAGAGAATAGAGAAGGAAGAAGAAAGGATTAGAGAGTGTGTGAATGGGGAAAAGAGAAAAGAAGAAAATTTGAATTTGATAGACGATGGGAGAAGAAGAGCATACAAAATAGATAAAGGGAGGTGTTTGAATTTCCTCATTAATATCTTTTTCATTCCCAATTGATATTCTTCCAATTCTCGATGGAAAAAGGAACCACAATAATATCATTGCATCGTAAAAGCAATTGAAGGTGAAAGGTTATAGTGTGGTGTAAAATTCCATTAAAAATAAAATAAAATAATTAAATTATGACTAAAAAAGGAAGGTTACTGAATTAAGAAAAGACTAAAATAGAAAATTGCATGAATGAGTAACACTTGGCAAAAGTTGCCAAAGAACTCATCTTAAATTTTTCTATTGTATAATTACGAATTTTGAAGGACAATTTTTATGAAAATTCTTGTGAATGTGAATGAATAATGTATTTTTATGTCTTAATCATAAACTTGTGTGACTATATAAATTGTTAATCTATTTAATATTTTAATAAAGTTTTTGGTGATCTACTCAAAAATGTTTTTTTTAATACAAGAGATTTTATATTTAAGAATAATTTTTTAAGAATGAGTTAGGAATAAAAATAGTACAATTTTTAAAATTTAATTTTTTATATTAAAGTTTAAATATCTTTTAATAAGAGAATAAAACTTTTGAAATTCAAGATATAATGTAATAATTAAAAAAAATTAAACGTTTTTATTAAAGTTTATACATCTTCATATAAAAAATCGAATATTTGAAACTCAAAATATTAAATAAAAAAAATACAGTATAAAAAATTGTAAGCTTCAAAACACAAGAAAAACCAAATCTCACTTTTAAAGTAACGTAAGAGATATATTTGATTGTATATTAATTTTTTTAATATTAAAACTACGTCCTAATTTTTAATTTCATTTAAGTGATACAAATATAATTTAATAATTCAAGTACAAAAAATAATTTCTGGTGATAGAGAAGTAAATTTCTTTGGGAACATAATTTTTTTTGGCAGTTAAGATCATTAATGAATATAGGATTGAATTGCAATTACATAAAAATATGAAATTAATATTTTAAAATTAATAGTTGAAATACACTTGGATCATTTAGCTTTTGACACGTTAGTTGGATAATTTTACCCAACTTTTTTTAGTTGGTAGATAAGAATTCACCATGAATTTACCGTGCTCTAACTGTATAGTGGACCACTAACATCTGACAAATCAAGAAAGTCATATATATTCAAAACTTATTAAGAAAGTCATATATGTTCAAAATTATCTCATAATAATATGGAAGACTTGAATAGAATAACACTATTTTGATAACCAAATTTGAGAAAAGAAAAGGAAAGAATTTTCCAGGAACAAAACGTTTAAAGAAATTTTTGTATACTTGCTGAAGAAGAAATCAAGAATATAATAAAAACATCAAGTGATTTGATTTTATACACACTTTGTATTGACACCTTAAACAATTGTTTTTGTGCTTAACTTTGCTTACATCTTCTGTTGAGTCCGAGAACATGGACATTTCTAAAATGAATATCTTAAGCAGGAGAAACTAATATCAAGGAAAAGTTGATCTAATCGTTAAACACGCAATTGAAACAATTATCATAGCTAAATATGAAGACTAGATTCAATCGTGCATGAACTCAAGTTTGAGTAAATAAGTATTGCTAACATTTAATTGATTTAAACAATAAACAGTTAAACACGCAATCGAAAACAATTATCATCCTAAGCAAAATGTCGTGGACTAGATAGTATATACCAAGTGATTAAATAAAAGCAAAGTTTCATTAGTGGAGCAGGAAAATTACAGTCAAGAAGGTGAGTTTATGGCAACAATATTACAGCATAATGTTGAAGATTAGAATAGAGACCTTCATCTCCATACAAACTAAAATATTATGCATTGCTTCTTCGATGTGCTCTCATGGGCGGATCCACGTTTAGGCTAGGTGTGGCTATAGCCACACCAGATTTTTTTTTCTTTCTAATATTAATATATATTTAATTAATTAATTAATTTTAATATTTAATATTATATAACTCTTCAACTCACTTTTATCTTTTAATTTTCTCTCTCTTTTATTTCTTTCTCTCTCACACAGTAAACCCTTTTTCTTCTTCTCAAACCCCACCAACTTTCATATTTGTCTCTTTCTCTCATTAATCCAATAACCCCACCATTTTGCATTGTTTATGGGTGATTGAAAATCAAAGGTAAACTAACTACTTCAAAATTTTCTTATTCTTTTGTTCTATTTGAGTTGAACCTTAAAACCTCAATTTGTTTTAAAAAAGTAAATTTTCAATTTCTCATAAATATTTTCTTTACAATAAATTGTTCTTATTATTTTCTTTATAGAGTGAATAGTTAATTTTAATGGTTTCATTGTTCTCTTTATAGGATGAAGAAATTTTTTCCTGTGCTTTCTAGAGACAAAGCTACTTCTTCGGTAAATCTAGAAGCATCGGAAACTCAACATCCAAGTGAGAGTATTAAAGTTGTCGATTATGAATTGTTGGAAACCGATCCAGGAATTAGGCCTCCAATTTCAAGCTATCATCCTGACATCCAAAATGAGGTAAGGAAAGCTTATTTAAAAATAGGTCGTCATAAACCTCCTTACAATTTTGTTTACCCTTGGTCTGTTCAAGGTAATCAAAGACGTAGATTTTGCAAAAATTGGTTTGATTTGTATGATTGGATTGATTATAGTGAATCTAAGGACCTGACATTTTGCTTGCCATGTTTTTTGTTTAAGAATGTCTCTAAATACGGGGGAGATCACTTTGTGACAGAGGGGTTTGGTGATTGGAAGAATTCTCACAGATTGGCTAATCATGGAACTTCTTCCAATAGTCATATTGATTGTGTGCATATGAGTTACGCTCTCATGAACCCAAACCAAAGTATTAAGGCTGCATTTGTTAATCAAACTAAACAAATGAATTCTGAATATCGTGTTCGTGTAAACACATCTCTTATAGCTACTAAGTTTCTTTTGAGGTGTGGCATGCCATGTAAACACATCAATGGTTAAATGATCGTCTTGTAACTTTTATAGAAAGAGATGTTCTTGGAACAATTAACAATGATGTTATTTTAGCTCATTTTCAAGAAATTGATACTAGACGGTTTTCATTGTAAATACACTTCATCAAACAATATTATTTTTTATTTTCAATATATTTTAGTCGATAATTTCTTTTATGTTTAGCCACACCAATATATAAAGTCTGGATCCGCCCCTGTCTCTGTGTCTAACTTTAAATGACGAGATTGAATTACACCAACTGCTACTAACGCATCCATCACCATTCCCTGTGTAAAAAGATGCTCAGACCATGCAGATTATGGGCCAATATGATGGTATTCTAAAACAAAAGTTAAAGAAAGAAAATGATGTTGAGAATATCTGAAAGACTTGTAACAATCACATGCATCTGTAATGATTAGGAAACTATGAATCAACACATAGTAATGAATTACATATTCTTATGCACCTAGTATGAACAGTAAAAAAGAAAAACAATTTCTCATTCAAATATGGCCCTGTCATTTTCTCATTCAAATATGGCCCTGTCATCCAGAACACAGATAAATATGAAAACAAAGACATCTTACATTTCAGAGTTCAAACTTCAGCAAACAACACATCCTCGTTGCAATAAGAGTATCCTCTCACTTTCATTGAAATGAATATGAGGAGGAGAAGTTATCTTTCTCAATGATGGACTTAAAAATAGCACTGAGGCGGCAACATTCGTACGCACATTCAAACAGTCTCTCAAATGGATCTCTCTCAGTTGTGTGCATTTTTCTACCACATGTTTCACTCCCTTCTCTGTGCATCCTAAACAATCATTTATTAACAATTGCAAAAGCCCACAACAAGTGTTTGAGATATCATCAACGTTTGAAAATGATAAGTCCAACATCTTTAGCTTGGGAGCTTCGAAGTTCATTCCTCGTAGCTCCAAGCTTGACATTGTTAAATTCAAATGACTTATGTTACGGCATCTCCTTAAGACATGAACAATACTCTCATCAGATATTTTATAGCAACATTCTAACTCAAGCCGGTGGAGAAGCAAACATTACTGTAAGATAATTTAGGCCGTGCCTTTTCATTCATGTGATAGTCATTTATATACACAGTACAAATATGTGGTTATGATTATAATAATCATTGGTAATCAATACTAATAATAATCTTTCTATATTTACATATCTAATACACCCCCGTAGTCGAAACTGGAGGTGAACGAATGTTGAGACTATCACGAAAGTCATCAAAGAGTTGCAACGGAAGTCCCTTTGTGAAGATGTCAACAATCTGAAAACGCGAGGGAATGTGAAGAACGCGTACTTGACCGCAAGCAACTTTCTCACGCACGAAATGTATATCCATTTCAATATATTTGGTGCGTTGATGTTGAACAGGATTGTCGGAAAGATAAACCGCGCTGATGTTGTCACAATATACCAGAGTAGCTTTTGTGACAGGACAACATAGTTCCAAGAGTAAGTTGCGTAACCAATATGATTCAGACACAACATTAGCTACGCCTCTATATTCGGCTTCGGCACTTGAACGAGACAAGGTATGTTGGCGTTTTGCGGACCATGAGATCAAGTTGTCACCGAGATAAACACAGTAGCCGGAGGTAGATCTTCTTGTGTCAGGACAACCGGCCCAATCTGCGTCTGTGTAAGAAATGAGCTTGTCGACAAATGAAGGGTACAAATGAAGGCCGAGATCTACGGTACCATTAATGTAACGAATAATGCGTTTCAAGGCAGACATGTGTTGAGTTTTTGGATCATGCATAAATAAACATACCTGCTGAACTGCATATGAGATGTCTGGTCGAGTGAATGTTAAGTATTGCAATGCTCCGGCAAGGCTACGATATTCGGTTGGATCATGGTAAGGGTTACCGGATGAACCACTGAGTTTCGCCTTTGTGTCTACTGGTGTGGGGGATGGTTTGCAGGAGGACATACCAGCTCGTTCGATAATTTCTTCTGCATATTTCTTTTGAGAAAGAAAAAGGCCTTCGGGATGTTTGGTGACAGAAATACCCAGAAAATAACTTAAAGGCCCCAGATCCTTCATGGAGAATTCAGAACTCAATTGTGCCATGATAGATTCTCTAAGAGTGTCAGATGATGCAGTAAGAATAATGTCATCCACATACAAAAGAATATAAGCTATATCATTGCCATGATGATATATAAAAAGAGAGTGGTCAGAAATACTGTGAGAGAAGCCCATTGTAGCTACATAATCAGTAAAGCGCTGGTACCAGGCGCGAGGTGCTTGTTTGAGACCATATAGAGATTTCTTCAATAAACAGACATGATCAGGAAATTGAGAATGACGAAATCCAGGAGGTTGATGCATGTATATGGTTTCATGAAGGTTCCCATGCAAGAAAGCATTTTTAACATCTAATTGATGAAGACACCATGATTTAGATAAAGCAACACTTAGAACCGTTCGAATGGTAGCCGGTTTGACCACCGGGCTGAATGTGTCACCACAATCAATACCTGTTTGTTGATTTGCACCATTACCTACAAGGCGAGCTTTGTATCTCTCAAAATATCCGTCAGATTTCTTTTTATGCCTGAAAATCCACAAACTTCGAATAACATTAGCATTAGATGGACGAGGAACTAAGTCTCACTTCTTATTTTCAATAAGAGCATCATATTCGTCTTTCATGGCCATTTTCCAATTTTGATCATTTAATGCATCAATGGGATTTGTAGGTAGAGGGGATATGGAGGTTGAGGTTGATGTATGGAGATTGAAGAGTTTGCGAGGTTTGACGATACCGTGTTGGGCTCTGGTTGTCATTTGAGGGGAGAGGGGCTGATTTTGTTGTGAAGGTGGAGGAGTCGGAAGTGATGTAGTGGATGGGGATGAGACGATATTTGGTAATGATGGGTTTAGAGGTGATGTTGTGGATGGGGCTGATGTTATGGTTGGTGAGGTGGGATTGTGGGAGGGTGACGAAGGCGAATTCAAAGAAGATGGTGATGGTTGGTAAATGTTTGTTTGAACTGGTGTAGTTAGGGGTGAAGTGCGATTTTGATGGTTAGAGGAGGGAGCACTATAGGAATAGGATGGAAGGAAGGGTGTGTCGTCATCCAAAAAATTATAACCAACCGTTGTAGGAACATTTGGATTAGAAAACGGAAGCTTAGTTTCATCAAAAATGACATGCCGGGAAATAAATATTTTACGGCTAGATAAATCATAGCATTTATATCCTCTATGATTTGAGGGATATTCTAAGAAGACACAAGGTGTAGACCGAGCTTGTAACTTATTTCTATATGATGAAGGGATGAGAGGATAGCAAAGACATCCAAAGACATGAAGGTGAGTATAGGCCGGATCTTTTTGGTAGAGTATTTTAGTGGGTGATTGAAGGGAAAGCTTTTTATTTGGAAGGATATTATGTAGGTAAGTGGCCATGTGTAGTGCATGATGCCACATTGATGGAGGTAAAAAGGCATGGGCGAGAAGGGTACGGATGATGTTGTTTATGGTACAAATTTTTATTTCGGCTTTTCCATTTTGTGAGGAGGTGTGAGAACACGAAAATCTAAAAGACATTCCATTTTTTTTACAAAAATTATGAAACATAGTGTTATCATATTCTTTACCATTGTCACATTGGAAACATTTAATTTTTCTTTCAAATTGTGTTTCAATGTGAGTTCTAAATTTAAGAAAAATGGAATGAACCTAAGATTTTGTATGAATTGGAAAAGTCCATAAAAAATTTGTGTAATCGTCAAGAAATAACACATAGTAACGATGACCTTCTGAACTAAGAATTGGTGAAGTCCAGAGGTCGCTGTGCACAATATCAAAAGGCATAAAAGTACGAGACACAGAGCTATAAAAGGGAAATTTTATTTGTTTTCCAAGAGGGCATGGATTACAAAAGTAATTGTTCCGAGACTTATTACATTGGAGAAAGTTGTCTCTGTGTAGAGAACTTAAGATAATAGCTCCTGGATGTCCTAAACGGTTGTGCCATAATTCTGTGGATATTGCGGCAAAGGTGGATGGTGGTAAGGTTTTATTAGGTGGTCTTGTGGCAATGGGATAGAGGTCACCAGAACTGTTACATCTCATTAACAGTATTCCTGTCTGAAAATCCTTCACAAAAAAACCAAAAGGATCAAATTCAACCGACACATCATTATCTATGGTAAATTTATGAACAGAGATAAGATTTTTTATGAGTTTTGGTGCATGTAAAACATTAGGTAATTTTAGTAAATGAAGGGAATTTGGTAATGATGCATGTCCACAACCAATTACAAGAATATTTTGACCACTACCGACAGTAATATTATTACTCATATTGAAATAGGACGAGAGATTATCTCTGTTGGTCGTCATATGCGAGGTTGCTCCGGTGTCCATGTACCACTGATCATCAGGAGTAGAAAGTGAGAGAGTATGCATGGCAGCTTGAATATCTGTTGGAGCATATGAGGAGGTTGGCGCTGTGTTGGCGACATAAGCTTGATTTGGAGCATATGAGGAGGTTGGCGCTGTGTTGGCGACATAAGCTTGATTTGGAGCATATGAGGAGGTTGGCGCTGTGTTGGCGACATAAGCTTGATGAGATGGCTTGGGACCAAGGATGTCGGGTTGTTCCTTTGGATTTCTTGCTGTTGGATACGGACAAGGTGGTGTAGCCCATGGTTGCCATGGCGGGGAGCTCCATTGTTGATATTGATTTGGGTATGGCAGATAAGCCCACTGCTGATGCGGGTAATATGGTGAAGGCCATTGCTGTTGCGGAGAACAACCTCCGCCACGTCCATTGTTTCGCCCTCGGCCTCGTCCACGCTGTCCTCTGCCATTGTTTCGGCCACCACGATTGTGGTTACTGTTGTTACCGCGGTTAGGACGGGATGCCGATGAATTAACTGATGCGTCATTGTGAGACGCCGTGAAAGATGAATTTTCGACTGAGCTTGACACCTTTTTCTGCAGTGCTATTTCTTCCAAAATGATCATGGAACGAGCTTTATAGAACTGAGGAAGTGAATCAGCATGCCGAATTTGAGATCCCACAGTAGAATATGCATCGGTTAGTCCCGAAATGAGTTGAAGAACTAAACGTTCATTCGATACAGGGGCACCAACATTAGCGAGTTGATCAGAGAGAGATTTGAGATGCTGACAGTAGGAGGAAGCATCAGAGAATTGCTCCATATGAGTTTGCGAAAATTCTTGCTCTAGGTAGAGAGCCCTAGAATTCTTGTTATCATAAAAGATGTCGAATAAGCGATTCCACGCGATTTCAGCGGTGGAATTATGTTCGATGATAGTGTTGAGAAGATCATCGGAGATTGTTCCATATATCCACTGCAAAACGACGGCGTCGAGACGAAGCCATAACTGTGGATCGGTAGTTTTGAGAGAGGGATCTACGGCTGGTTCAGAGGGATTGATATGGTCAATTACTTGAAAAACTCGAGCATGAATTTTGAAAAGTTCTGACCACGTGTTATACGTGCCCTTTTCAATGCTCAGAGTAATCTTGATGAAATTAGTAATATTTGGGACAGTGAAAGCAGGGTGAATCGGTGTAGGAGTGGTAGGTGGTGGAGGAGGGTCGGTATGACCGGATGATTTCGGGGAAGAGTTGTTGTTAGAGGAATCAGAAGTGGTAGTCATGGCTGTTTCGCGGTAGTTGAAGAGAAAAAGAATGAGGGATAGAAAGGAAGAAGGTTTACGGCTGATTTTAGGGTTTGGAACAAACCAAGACTGATACCATGTAAGATAATTTAGGTCGTGCCTTTTCATTCATGTGATAGTCATTTATATACACAGTACAAATATGTGGTTATGATTCTAATAATCATTGGTAATCAATACTAATAATAATCTTTCTATATTTACATATCTAATAATTACGATGCTTTCATCACCTAACCACGAATTGCAAGACATATTGAGAGACTTTAATTGAGGGTATACTCCAAAATCCATCAAATAATCATTATTCTCTACAGTCTTACCCCAATCTGTTTCATTATGATCTCACTAAGTGAAGGACATTTCCTAACTAGTGCAAACAAGGATGAAACTTTGATCATCAGACAATTACTAAGGTTTACAGAAGCTAAACCCACAAGCTATAAAAACAAGTCCGCAACATGGCGATCATTCAAAAACATGGTGTTTGGGATATCAACATGTTGGATAGATTGAGACTTGGATAACAAACTAAATAGTACAGTATAATTATGTCCCTTGCAATAACCGATGGCAATCCTCTTCAAAGAAGACCTTCCATTGCAATAGAAGTGAGCAGTTCATCCGAAATAGTAGAACAAGTCAACCCCTTAAAACTCAGCAAGGAATCAATGACTTGTGCAGTAAGTAAGATGGGAAGAGATAAATACCTCAATGTTGATTGTTTCTCGTTGAGAGCAGAAGAAACTCCTGCTTTTGTTATTCGACGACAATAAGGCAAGATGAGTTGATTTGTCATCGATATAGTAATGGCTAGAGAGATTAATCTTGCGGAGATTGAAAAGTGACAATGAAAGAGCCTCAATTCCATGGAGGAAGCTACTATTACCGTAGTAGTAACCATTGATGTTTGCATTGGGGTCAGAGAGATCGAGGTCGAGTTGTTGGAGTAAAGGCAGGGCCGGCCTTGGACCAGACAACCAGGCCCATGGTCCAGGGCTTAAAAAAAATCGGGAGAAAATCGGGAGAATAGATAATTAAAAAACATATAATCCAGTAATAAAAATACTATGTGCTATGATTCATTTATGATGTTGCCGCAGCCTAGCAGTTATAGATAATGAACAAACATATAATCCAATAATAAAAATACTATGTACTATGACCCATTTATGATCTTGCCGCAGCCTAGCAGTTTTAAAGTATGGAATGTGAAGTTATGGTCTCAGGTTCGAGACTAGTGAAAAAGCAATTTTACAATTCAATTTTTTTATTGAAACACAATTATCATAGTGCTGCAATGTCATCTTTTTTAAAAAACCGGTAAGTACGCAAGATTATAAACAATTGCACATTAACTTAAAAAAATTGTATTAATATAACTAAACAGAATCATATACTAAAAAATTGTATTAATACAACTAAAAAAATCATATATGCATTTACTGACCTTTGTATTTTTTAAAAATAAATTTTAAATAAATTATATTTATTTTATATTTAAAAAGTTCAACATATAATAAATTTATTTATTTTTAAATTTATATGATAAAATATAATATATTAATAAAATTTATTTTATAATAATAAATTAAAATTTAAGAAATTTAATATTTGTCTAGGGCCTCCAAAAACTCGGGACCAGCCCTGAGTAAAGAGAAACATTCAGCGATGAGGAACAAGAGGTTGCTTGTGAAGGAAGGTAAGTTGGAACAAATGAGAGAGGTTAGAGTTGTAATGTTTTGAGAGAAAGCTCCCAAGCCATTAGCGGGAATAATGGGTTGGTGAGAGAGATTGAGTGAAGTGAGTTTCAATGGGAAAAGAGAGATTTGACAAAGAAGTGCATCGAGGTCGCCATGGAAATGAGTGAGGTCAAGGGAGATGAGGTTTGTGAATCTGTGGAAGAGGCAGGAGAGGAAATGGAGTGTTGAATCATATACAGAGAGAGACAATCGGAGTCGGTTGGTGACGGAGAACAAGTGCTTAGTGACGACAAAGATAGACTTCAAGTTATGGTTATGATCATAGTCATCATAATCATCGTTGAGAAATTTGAATACACGTTGATGGGGAAAATAGCAAGTGTATTATTTTTGCCTCTTGTAATAATAGGGAAATTCCACGAATGTCGATCTCGAAGACTGTGTATAATTATTGAGTTCAATTCACGTTCAATTAAACAAAAACTATATTTGGCGTTTTTGGTTTTGAGATTATACTTAACCATTAACAGAAATATAAATTTGCTTCTTAACAATATGAGGTGCATGCTAGGGTAAAGTGTATAATTTTACCTATAATTACCTTGAATCCTGATCTATTCAACAAGTTCATATCATTCAATTATCATCCCTTTGGGTTATTTTCCCCTAACTACTTAATGGGAAAAACTTTTGAACATTCAATCCTAATTCCTAAGTCCTTAGAGAATTATGATGAAATCAAGGCTCTTTTTTATCAAGGGTTAACCGGTAACTATAGGGTATCCCTAGTCCTAGGTGATATCTACTATAGGCACAAAAACCTTAACAACGCGGTCCATCTGGTTGTTAATTGTAACTCAATCCTAATTGGTCCGATCAGGAAAGCATAAAAACATTATAGATTAAATCGAATAATAAAACCATGAAATTGATAACTCAGGAATTCAGCATAGTTACAGAATCAAGTCAGGGACACCCCTAGCATTGGGGGTTTAGCTACTCATATTGTTCAAAATAATTACAAGATAAAAATTAGACATTACAAGTATTTTGGATAACTTGGATCTTCAATGGCTTTCGCTCATGAGAATCCTCCGCTCTCCAAGAACCTCCAACTCTCCAATCTTCAATCGTGTAAAATATTCTTTCCTGGCTAAAAGTCCCCAAATTCATTGTGGAAACTCCTTTAAATAGCAAAAACTCATTTAAATCGGGTGGAAATGCCCATATCGCTCCTTTTGGACCCAAATAGTGAAAAATTACAAAAACAATTCAAATCAGCGTCACCGGATGACACGGCCCGTGTCAGGCGACACGGTCGCCCGTGTCAGCTTCTGGAATTTATTTTCTTCTTTTAAGCTTCAAGCATGCTGACACGGCCCGTGTCAAGCTACACGGTCGCCCTGGTCAGCCCCCTGGTTGTCCACGCTCTCCAAGTCTTCCCCCTAACACGGTCCGTGTCAGGTGACACGGCCACCCGTGTCAGGGCTCCTGTAGCACTTCCTCTGAAACTCTGAATCCTGCACTTTTTTCCACCCCGAAACAAAATTTACAAAATTTAAAACCAACAAAACTCCTCAAGCTAAACACGATGAGCTTGCGGATAACACAATTTGACAAAACAAAACGAATAGAAATAACAATACGAAAACGTGGTGAAAATGAATTTAGAAGTTGTAAAGTGGAGATTTGAAATTAAGAGCAAGTCTTATTTCAACTTTTTAAAACACAAGCCACCACACACATAAACAAACATGCTTGTTTTACGTTGTAAGCTCGACGCCTTTATTATGCCAGGACTAGTAACCTCCTCTCGTCGTGCCATGGTATTTCCACACCGTGCAAACCTAAAGAAAGTGTCCTAACAACCTCACAACAAACATTACGAATACGAGATAACTTACAACAATACTTGAAAACAAGGGAAAATGCACATATGTACAAGTATGGAAAGTAAACACATAACATGTATAAGTAACAATATACAAGTTCATATACAAAGTCTATACAACATATACATTAATTACAAAACTCAAAAACAACAGATTTATCGCAATATAGAAACAATAAAACCAATACCTGGCAACGACGCCATTTTGTTGTTGTGGTGTTAGCGGCAAGCAAAGAGTTGGTATTTATTTTTACCGGGTGATATATATATGGGTTAGGTTATATCGTATCGTGTCCACAGAGATTGGTTTTATTATTCGTCGTTCGACAATTATATCGTTAATGAGTTTGGGATTAAATGAGTTGAAAATAAAAGACAAAAAGTAAATGAACAAACAGTATAAAGGATAGACAGCTTGTCCGGAACGAATGCATACTACCCGTTGATAACACGAAAACGTATCGATTATTTAGATTGATTTATATGATTTTTTATCCGTATTTTAATTAATTATATTATTCGTTATTTGTATTATGCCGGTATTTTCTATGTTTTCAGGTTTCTCCCAATTATAAAGCATGTGCGAAGAAAGTCGAGAAAAGACAGATAAATCATACTCAAAGTTCACAAAATAGAAGTATTTATTGAAGCATGTGGGTGTATGACAAGAAGTAGGGGTGTAAAAGAAGTCAAGCTGGAAAAAATGAAACAAAGAAGCAGGCCCAACCCACTTCTAATGCGCGCAGCAAAGCAAGCCCACTACGCATGCAAGGGTGTAACGACCGTTACACGTAAGCCCTAAGGCTGTAGTGACCATTACGGACTAGGGAGCAAAGCTTCCTCACTAAGGCAGGCTGTGTCGACCATTACTCAACCCTAACAGCTCCGTAGTGATCACTACGGAGGAGAATCCAAAGGCGAAAATTTTGCAACTAACCCAGCTACCCAGCGTGCCACTACCTCTATAAATAGCTACTCGATTTCAGTTTCAAAGACACTTTTTTCTCTAAAATTTTGTACCGCTACTCTGCCAGTTTTATTTCTGATTTCAATTTTATTTCCAGTTTCGATTTATTAGTTATCTGCTTTCTTTTCTCGTAGCAATTTCCACATCGGGGATTGCTGCGAGCCTTTTCCAATTCTAACCTTATGTTAGAGTTGGGTTTTTTTTTATTTCCTTCATCGCTTTTGAATTTTCGGACAACGAAGGGCAGATCTCACCGACTTGTGGGAGACTCCTGGAGCTTGCCAAATATTCCGCCTTTTATTTTCAGGTTTATTTTAATTAAATTATTTATTGGTTTATTTAACTGTTCATTTATTTATTTATTGGCTAAATTAATTGTTTATCTATTATATGCTTGATTTATCCGCAATGCATGTTTTATCTGAACTGTCTGTTTATCACTGTCGCGCTATAACTGAATCGTTTAACATGTTAGGCTAAATTTAGTTATCGGTATGTAGGGTCACATAGCCAACGGGGTTTAGCAACGCCATTCGATTTATTCCGTTTTAAAAAAGATTAATTTTCTAGTTTCAATTATTAGTTCTTAATGCAACTGTTTTGTTACGAGAGTAAAGTACATATTAGAAGTTAGGATCAATAAAGCGAGAGTTTGAGATTTTAACTGGACATTAGTAATTGAGCATCAACTTAAAATACAGTGAGAGCGTTTTTAAGTTGATTAGGTTTTATTTATTTTTAAAATTTATTTTTAAATTCAAATTGAAACAGCAAGAGCACTCACTTAGGTTTGATTATAGGATATGAATCAATAAACACGAGAGTGTGAGAAGAGGATTTTTAAACAAGTATTTCCTACTGAAACACGTTTTGATAACTACAACTTAAGTCAATGATTTGCTAAATCCCTAAGCCTGACCATTACATACTGATACTTTCATTCTGAATCTAAACTAGATCTTAATCAGTTAGGTTCCCTAAAACCAAAAATTATTTATATTATTAGCCTTAGATTTACGTAGTAACCTAAGATAATGGTAGATCAACATTTAGTCCCTTGGGATCCGATCATCTTTAAAACTACACATGATAGGACTGTATACTTACGGTCTAGATTCTATAAGATGTATAAAGTCGCGATCAAGTTTTTGGCGCCGTTGTTGGGGACTAACAAGTTGATATCGTAACTCTTAAAGTTACACTGTACAGACTAAGGCACCATTCTCGATTGTATACCAAGTACTCGATCTAGAAGCGAAGACTTAGTGCTACCAATTCCCGAACTCGAGCGCTCTATCATTAGAAGATGCCACGTATGAGTACCTCGTACCAATCAACTCTCTTCTCAGTCTGCA